AAGCCAATTTGGTTTTGATAATATAAACGCTTTAATGCCGTCAGGGGTTGGGGTTGGCATTCAAAAAATTTGTTTAGTTCTGTCAAATACTACGTTTTCAGAATACGAAACGTTGTTTAACAGGACTAAACCAATTTTTGAAGTAAAACTTCTTTACGCACGCTTGACTTGGGGAGTAAGCTGGTGAATGCGTGACAAGAGCGTTACGAAAAGTGTGAACGGGCGAACGGAAGTTGAGAGGGACATATAAGTTAGTGAAGATAGAAAGAGAGAGAGTTACGTTTCGTATATACCTGTAGGGGCAAGAGACAGAGGTGCGAGAACACATTTTCTCTCTCGTGGGTCTAAAGCACACTCTTTTTATGTGATTTTTAGTGTAATTTAGAGAGTTTTCGAACAGAATTAGCACCACTAGTAATAAAATTTAGTAAGATACACATACATTAATGTTTGTGTTTAAAATGGTAAATCTTTAATATGGGTTCCCAATATTTAGGTATAAATTGTAGCTTAACGGAACGTTACATGCCATATTTTCATTTTTTTCATGTTTAAAAAAAATATTCTAATAAATTCTAAAAAAAAATGTTTATGGCAATGGTAATAATCTTTCGAACAAAAAGTAAACATTCGATGTTTCAAACATTTATGATCCGGAACCTACAAAGAGTTTTTGCCAGAACGTTGGAATTTGTGGTATTTCTTAACGGAAAACAAAATATTTGACGCAAAAAGACATATTATTTCACACCGAACCTGTTTTAATGTTGTCTCATTATTTTGTGAACGGTTTGTGTATATAAATATAATTAATTTAGGAATAATTGTTTCGTATTTAAAGAAGGAATATTCATTTCTATAACATGTAACGTAATGTTATATGTAAAAGAAATTATGATGTTTTGCATACAAACTTTCGTCAATCTTATTGAAATTTCTTTTTAATTTTCTTCAATTTATAAATATATATATATATATATATATATATATATATATTTAATTCTTAAATTCCTCGAATAATTTGTTGTATGTAGTTAACTTTTCCATAACATTGCCAAAATTATGATAATTTAAATATTCAGTTTAGTTTAGGTAATTATTTAAAATTTCTTGAAAACACCTGTTTCTAATAATTACCTTCCGGCTGACGCAATTGCTTTCCGGGCACGGTTGCTTCGGAAAGTACCTGCACTCGGTCGCTAGGAGGGAACTGAGTCCCGCCTGCCACCACTGCGACTGCAGTGAGGACTCGGACCGGCACACGCTGGCGGTCTGCCCCGCATGGGCGACGCAGCGCCGGGCCCTCACTGTAGTCATCGGAGTGGATCTCTCGCTACCGGCCGTAGTACGCTCCATGGCCGGTAGCGACAGTTGTTTTACCGCGGTCGCAACCTTCTGCGAGGAAGTAATCTCGCAGAAGGAGGCGGCGGAGAAGGCCCGGGAGGACGACCTCCACTCGGACCCGATCCGCCGCCGGCCAACCGAACCGCGAAAAAAACAAAAAAGGGCAACATAACAAAGAATGACAAAAAAAAAATTTTTTTTTAGTTGTCTGGTTGTTTTTTAGTTATGAGATGGAAATTGACTATCGCCGCCCATGAACGTCTGCAACTCAGGAGTCACAAACGCGTTGCCGGCCTTTTAGGAAGGAGTACGCTCACATATGTATTTAATCATTGTCCTACAAAAGCTTAGCCATCTGTTTCCCAATGACAGTACCTACCCATTAATTACCTATCAATCACGGATGGTGCAGTGGTTTAAACGGTCACCTCGCTTCTACCTACTGCACTGAGTGCTGTGGGTTCGATCCCAACATGAGACAACACTTTGTGTGATCCACAAATTGCTGCTCTGAAGTCTGCGTGCCCGTTTCATGAATGTTTGTAAAGTACCCCGCGACTGGCCGCTACACAGAATACTTATTCGTCTTTTTCAAAGAAAACAGAAGCAAATAATTAATTGAAGGTATGGCTATAAATCTCCTTCTACAATCAAGTTATTTATCTTGCACGTGAACTAAACGTCATTTGCTTTCTTAACCGTAACGATATCACGGGTTAACTGATATGGATTGAATAAACATGACAGTGCATTGCCCTCTACTGTTACACTTATTAAACTATAATGTTGAACAAGACTTTCTTTCACATTACAAACATTAAAATCAAGTATGTACCTGGGTATTTACATAATAATTTCAAACTCGAAACTTGCAAACCATTGATAGCTGTTATAGCGTACATTCTGTATTCTCTAGAAATTAGTGTGAAAAAATGAGTTACACGTCATGAAGAAACATTTTGACGTGACAACGTCTTAAAATTCGATGGAGCCGGCTGCACGCACGAAAAAACATGACTCATGCGTTGTTACCTCGCTCTGAGGCGTTCCATTTAAGGCTTGAAGTGCAAGCGAGAGCGCGGAACGAGCGACAAAGAGGCACAATCGGCCACCATACTATACTATACAATAATACATTACATATTTTCGTAAAATGCTACCATTACATCAGTATTTTCTTATGACGTTGTCACGTTCAACTATCGTCAGTAAACCGACTTTACAGACAACCGATTTTTTTTTAAATGGCTGAAATAATGAAATTTTAATTTCATTATTGCGTTCATTTAATTGAATTTTAAGATTTGGTTTAGCAAAGAAAACCAATATTAAGAAATTTAAAAATAGTGACTGTCGTCGAATAACATGTTTGTGAAAAAACCATTGAGTTAAAACAACACTAGAGAAGCAAACCTCATTATCACACGTCGAAAAAAGTGTAACCACTTTTGAACTTTGACGACGTAGCTTTGATACCACTAAACATTTGAAAGTAACAATACCATCGCTCGGATTAGACAAAGACAAAGATATAACTTTACGATGGTGGGCCAGTGTTGACTACCGTATGAAATTTTACCCATAACAACTAAGAAACAATTTTTTTTTAAAACAATTTTGTAATAAAATAAATTAATTTAAATATTCTAAATAATATATTTCGAATTGAATAGAATAGGTATAAATAATAAAATAACTGGAAATATTTGGTTAAAAGGGTTTATATTCAGTGTAAAATCAAACTGCGCTGTGAAGCATCAGTTTTGTATACAATTGTCTTTTAGACTCTTTTTTATAAGTTTGTGTGGATATTTTACTTTCATGATACACTCTTATTTTTACGTATGTAAAAATAATAGCAATAATAAAAGTGAATGATCAACTTGTACTGATAATAAATAATCCCCAGGGTGTATTGCAAATATATTATATATATTATAATTTAAAAAACAAATTAAAAAAAAAAAAAAATTATCTTATAAAAAAATATATTTATGTTTATTTACTTTTTTATTTTATATTTTTATTTTTATGATAAACATTTATTATTATTCTCTTTATTAAATTTTATATATACATATTAATTACATTTTTAAATATATTACAAAAGAAATAAAAATACATTTAAAAATGTAAAAAATAGTAGACCACCGACATCGGGTACAGGTACCAGGACACCAGTGGTTAGGACTACAAAGATAGGAACCTCCTCACTATACGAGCCGTGTCAAGGAGGACTGCCTTCTGTATCTTATTATTATTATTATTTTGTACAATTATTATTTAAAATTGATAATAAATTAAGAAAAACAATGAATTAATTTTTTTGTACAAAAGTCAGTCAGGTATTGTTCTTGTCTCGCGTGTAAATGAGACATAAATATGTTTACTTTCAAATGTTTAGTGGTATCAAAGCTACGTCGTCAAAGTTCAAAAGTGGTTACGCTTTTTTCGACGTGTTTTTTTTCAACGTTCAACGGGTCCCTAAAAAAAGGTATCGGTCCAGCCCTAACAACTACCGTTCTTCCTATATTTTATTATTATTGGCAAAATGTTTAAAAACAGTATAAAGCATATTATTTCATAAATTATAAATTCTCCCACTAATGTGGGAAAACCAAAATGATTTTTTAATGGTAACACTGATTCTAAATTACAATTATCAGTGTTTTATTTCAATTATAGCCTTATTTACGATATTATCAATACAAAAACCATAAACTTACACGTGAAAAGTAATTCCGCATGATTTATTAATGTTTTGTGACCTTGAATCGCATTCTTTCACTACGCATTTAGCCATTTTGGCGATTGTTACTGTCATGTGTCGCTATGTTCAACTCGGTTGACGCCACATTGAATAATGAATTGACGTTTGCTACGCATATGCCTGTGGACATATGTGCAGTGGCAACGATTTTAGGCGGTAATTACTCATCTATGTAAGTATTATATTAATGGAAAAAACCTTATTCCTAAAAAACAGTCATATGTTTTCCCATTTTTGTGAGGACTGTTGAATGTTTGAGTAACTAGTAGCGCCATCTGTTGTGTATCTGTAATGTTACGGACACTCATAAAAAGTGATCTATCTTGATCTACCTAAATAAAAAGTCTACTAAAAAACTGTATGTGAATTAATTTGAGAAAATATTATTAATTTAAAAATCTTAAAGTATTAAAAATAAAATTTATATATTTATTAGCACTTAACAAAAGTGTTTATTGCACTATTTTTTTATCAGCAAGAACGATTCAAAGCGTAGTCACTGGTCACACAGCTGTCGGTGTGTCGGCCGTCATTTGTTTTTGACGTGTACACACGTCGCATCGGTGTTTGTTGTGATTTTTAAATAAAAATAATCGTAATTTTTCAATACTATTTATGTGAATTACACGCTTTATTTACAGTAGAAGTGAATATGAGCACTTTTTATGAACTTTACCAATTTAGGCTGTGATTGGACTAACAGTATTGTGACTGTGTTAATGTTGTAATCTGAAATATTTTCCTTAGAATTCTTAATTCAATGATGTTTGTTGTTTACTTTTACATTCAGCGAATAGCGGGAACGTATATTATGGGACTATGGACAAGTTAAGTAGTGTTTGATATATATTTTCTTTTAAAAACTAATTGTTAAGTTTAAAACAAGATGCGTGTGAATCTTAGAAAACTGATACTGGCCATCAGTATAGCACTATTCTTATGGCTTCTGATATCATATTCGTCAGTTATAGAAGTGCCAAGGGCGATTAGCAGGAGGGCAAGTGCCATAGAAATAGAGAATAAAATATATAATTTAGAGAAACAAATGGAGGAGCAGCTAGCAGACAGTAATCTTCTTCTACAAAAGGTGAAACAACAAATAAAGAAAGAAGATGATATTTTGGAGGATGGTAATGATGGAGGCGAAGAAAAAGACATTCATTCATCACAGAGTAAGTACCAGTTATTTGGATTCATTATTTTTTAATATGCACATCAAGTTTTATGTTCCATATACAAGAAGGTTTAAAATATGTAAAATGAAGAATAACTGAACATTTCTTTACAAAAACCTAAATGAAAATTGAACTTATCTGCGGTTTCTAGATGGCTGGGGAATCCATTAATAGCCTGAACTAGGGTTTCCCAAAGTGGTTGATATCCATCTCTTGGGGTCGAATTCTGTTTCCCAGGACCCCTTTTCTAAAGTGAATGTTACCTCAGACCCTGTAGCCAAATTATTGCATGCTCATCAACATGTTCATCAACATCAACTTGTTGAGTTTTTTAAAAGTTCAACAATGATACTTCCTACTAAAATATTGTCATTCTTATAACGTGGTGGTACATGTAACACAATTAATACAGTATCTTGAAAGTTGCAAATCAGAACTTTTGTTAAATTATGGGGGTCGATTTTTAGACCTCGTCAACCCCCAAAATCAAGTTTATAAATTTTACATTTCATAAAAAAAATATTTATGATGTACTAAGACTAAAGAAATTATTTTAATAAAAACCACTAGAACCCTAGTAGTAGAAAGTACTTGTGACTCTAGACTAGTCAGTTACTCGCATCTGGTTACCCGTCTGCTTGTTTGCCCCCTGTTCAACAAAAATTTAAGATTAGGATACAATAAAAATAAGTAAATATTAAATAATAATAAACCAATTTTTAAATAAAACCCAAAATGACATGTTGAATTTGTAATGTGACACATGCCAACAAAAATGTTGCCCATCTGTTTGCAAATAAATTAACAATGCAGTCGGAATACAAGAGGCTTTGAATGCACTGAGTGTTTATATTATCAGAAATATGGCTCTGGCAATGTTACTGTACAGCATAATGGTAAATTATACATTTGTAATTGATCTGTAATGATTATAGATACTAGATTTTGCCCGCAGCTCCGCCCGCGTGTATGTCGGTTATCGTGGTAAATAGTAGCTCACGTCCTTCCTCAAGAATCAAAGGATATCCATACCAAATTTCATTTAAATTGGTTCAGCGGTTATTAATTCCCCATACAAACTTCCACCCCCCTTTTCACCCCTTAACTATGATTTCTGGGATAAAAACTATCTTATATCCTTTCCTGGGACTCAAACTATCTCAATACCAAATTTAATTAAAATCGGTTCAGCTATTTAAGAGTGAAGAGAACAGACACACAAACGGACACACTTGCACACACAATAAGTATGGATATTCTTTGTGGCCTACTTGTGAAAAGCAACAGGTGCAAGAAAAACTATTGCAAAATAGTAATGACCTGAGAAAAGCGTATGGAGGTCAATCATATTTGATAATGATTGACTAATGATTAATAATGATTTTATATCTTTACTAGGTGTTAAGTGTAAGTGTTAGGTAGTTACGCGTGAGTTCGTCCACTAAAAATGGGTCCATATAAAAAATGTTTTAAAGAAGTTTTTTTCAAAATTATAATGTACATTTGAAGCTTTCAAACAGCAGTCTCGCAAATTTTTATTTTTTTATTTAACATACATGAAACGGACACAAAGAATACCCAGACTTAGAACAACAATTTGTGGATCACACAAAGTGTCGTCCCATCGGACCCACAACACTCAGCATAGTAGTGATCGGCGTGGTGACCGCTTAAACCACTACGAAATCCGTGTAGTCAAAAATGTGCTTGCTTCGTATATTAGATGTTAAAATAACAAAAAGTAAATGCAATATGAGGTAAATGAAACGAAAAATTATCCTTGATGATTAATTATGTCTATAAATAATGAGAAAAATTACACCAGACGAATAGACGTGTGTTGCCAACGTGTGGTCCATGCACCGTAATCATCTGGTTAATGTACTTATCAGCTAATATACAAATCAATGCAAGCCATGTGGTAGTATTGGGGGCGTGTACACGTGTATTTATACGGATTGTCAACCTCCCTTCTAAAACTAACTGATGCTAACACTGTTCTAAAAGACTCCTGTCTATGGCGACATGTTTCGCTTTTGTTCTGTCAGACGTGAAGTCAAAATTATTTATTTCTTTATTTAATAACTTTATGCACAAAATGTACAATGGTTGACTTAATGCCGTAGGCATTCTCTACCGGTCTACTGTAGGGTGACATGGAAATGAATGAGAAGGTGCACTACACTTTGGTTGAGAATTGTGAAAGTGAACATAAAAAGAACTAACTGTCGCGCACAGAAGGAGAAGAAATGAGAAAAAGCAATATAAATATAACAACTTATACATACAAGAATATATAAGTACATACATATTCATATATAAATATATACACATACATCTTATATATAAAATTCTCGTGTCACAATGTTCGTTCCCGTACTCCTCCGAAACGGCTTGACCGATTCTCATGAAATTTTGTGTGCACATCGGGTAGGTCTGAGAATCGGCCAACATCTATTTTTCATACCCCTAAACGGTAAGGGTGACCCATCCCTAATTTTTTTTTGTTTTACAATACACCGTTTGCCGGGTCAGCTAGTCTTATATATAAAATTCTCGTGTCACAATGTTAGTTACCATACTCCTCCGAAACGGCTGGACCGATTTTTATGAAATTTTGTGTGCACATCGGGTAGGTCTGAGAATCGGCCAACATCTATTTTTCATATCCCTAAATGATAAGGGAGACCCACCCCTAATTTTTTTTTTCAATATTTCCTAGAAATAATGTATATGGCAAAACAACGTTTGCCGGGTCAGCTAGAATATACTATAATATACAAATTATCATATTTGTGATGATTCTCCTATATTCTGGATAAGGAGAGCTCGTACCTTCACCCTGAATGAATTACGACTGGTTGCCATTATGATTTCCTGGGGAAGAGCACTCCAGAGAAGTACAGATTGAGTGAGGAAGGAAAAATGAACACACGCAGAAGTTTGGGAAGGGCAGAACAGAAGAAGATTATTTGTAGAGCGAAGGGTTCTGTTATGATTGGAACACAAACTGGCACGAGGATGTCAAGTATGTAGGAGAGTTGGGAGAGTTGAGAATAGTTTCGATCAAACCAATTGTAGGTATTTTGGAATTACCAGGAGTTCTAGTCAGTCCGACAATTCAGTAGTGGATCTAGTTGCCGGTTCCAATGCGTAGATCTTGTACAGAAAAGAAAACAAAACAACTCTAAAATATGAACAGCTTAGTGTGACATTAAAAATCCTAATTTTTTGTCAACATCTTCATACATTCATTCGCCAGGCTCACCCAGGCAACCTCCTCCAGGAAGACGGTTATAATGTAGACATGTACCTACATGTGCCATCGTCGCAGAGAATATCTGGCCACTTTACAAATTTTTTGGAGAAGCAGCGAATTTTTTGGCTCCTCTTTATACTCGTTAATGTAATTGTTTCGAATGTAATTTTGTTTGAAAGACCAAGGAAAAAAGTAAATTGTGGTAAATAAAACAAATTGGTAAAGAAAATAGGGTGAAACATTAAAAAGATTGACACTTTATATAATTTTTTACGTGTATTTGATTATAATAATTCTTATTATTGTTGTAAAATTTAAAACATATGTTGTGATTGAAAAATTAAACTTAGCCGCCGATGAGTCTTTTTAAACGAATGGCGAGTGTTCTGTTATAAGAAGTTGATGAATTTATAATACAACAGTACCAACTGTGCCTCATTGTGTCTTTGGTGCCATATTAAACCAGTATTTTTAACTAACTTGACCACGGCCACGATGACGGCACGGATAGCGTAGTGGTTTAAGCGATCCCCACATGGGACAACACTTTGTGTGATCGACAAATTGTTGTTCTATGTCTAGGCGTTCTTTGTGTCCGTTACATGTATGTTTGTAAAGTCCCCCGCGACACAGGCGTTGTCTTATAAACAAATAAATTTTGTTCCATGACGATCAGTTGAGTCAAGACGTGAAAATGTAACGAGCCTATGGTTTTTTATGGCATATTCGACAAAATAGGAGACGGGTTACCGGATTGTAAGTAACTATTGCTGTCCATTGTTACCTGCAATTCAAGCGTCATTAAGAACATTGATGCACTTTAGGCCCCGTACTGGAATTAAGTAATAGGTGGAGGAAGGGTTTGGTTATCCTCACTCGGTGAAAAGCAACAAATACCGGTTTTCTGTGAGCCTGTTCTGGCTGGCTGGATTCCTGTCCGTCGAGCCAGTCCAAATGTGCCGAAGTACAGATCTCCCACGATTAAAGGGTGCCTTCCATTTAAAAAATAGGTTGCCCAGAAAAGATTAATTTACAAAATGTAGGTAAGGCAAGCCACGCGTAAAATCTATATAAATCCATACTTATATTATAAATGTGAAAGTGGGTTTGTTTGTTACGCTTTCATGCCTAAACCTGATTTTTAAAATTCTTTCACCAATAGAAAGGTACATTATCAACGAGTAACATAGGCTACTTTTTACCGCGATAACTGACATACACGCGGGCGGAGCCGCTGGCAAAAGCTAGTACGTAATAAATGAATGTATGTCACTGATTGGGTTATAAATTGTATGATACCATATTAGGCCAAAACCTCCTTTCTAAGGGGAGGCCTATGTCCAGCAGTGGACTATTAAAGGCTGTTGATGTGATACCATATTTATCTGTTAATTTCATATTAGGTCCTTAGGTCTTGCCTTAGGCTGTGAGTAGTGCATCAATATTTAAGACTGGTGTAAGTTTAAGCAGAGCATATGCTGAACTACTGATTTTATCACATAAAGTCTCTGTGTGTATTTTCTAATTTAATTTACTGTCTATAGTTATCCCTATAAATGTTTTTGTGGTAAATTTGGTGATGTAGGAGTCTTTGTGAAAATTGCATTAACTTAGTTTTGGTATATTTAACATAAGGTTTTTATTGTCAAATAAATCATGGTATTATAATATTTTTATCAAAACTTATCAAGACAAATCTTATCACACTACTAACTTAATCAATTATAAAATTTGTGTC